TAAGAAATATCCTTTTTTTTTTTTTTTAATTATTATTATGTTTTCTCCAAAGGCTATAAATAGAAATTCTCGTTGATTTCAACTGAGATCATGTCAGTATGGGGGCCTTTACTGTAAGCAAATAAAGGTATTTTTTTTCCAGATTGAAAGGGATAGAAAGATAGAGCTTTGGATAGACTACTGCAGATTCACTCAACAGTATGAACCAGCAAGGGATATAAATGAAAATCTAGGTAGAGTCCCTCTCCAGAACACTTTTACGCACGCACTCTGATAAAATAGAGCAAAGCCTTCACGATAAAATAAAAAAACCCCAAAACCCTAATCAAAACTCAGGTAAAATAAACAAAGCAAATCCCTTTATAAGGGACAGCTGTGCTCTGGCAAAAAAAAAAAAAAAAAACAAAACACTAATTCCAGAAGAAGCCATAAAATTAGAGGCTTTGGCCAGAAACCACTGAATGAAGGAGCAAAGAGCTCACTCTGGTATCCAGTAACTACCACATTACAAAGCAAGTCTCCATACAGACCCATCTAGGGAAGTGTATTGAGCACTTGGACTAATACCTGAATGCTTGGAGAGTCTTGTTCCACCCCTCCCAAAAGTGTTCCACAGGCAGGGGGGGCAGGAAGGCTGCTGCCTTTACTGGTTTTTTCTGCCACCGCTTCCACGGAGAGTTGGAAACAAGAACCAGAAGTCAAACCGCAGTTGGGGAAAGGAGAGCAAGAACTCCAGAGTATGCAGATCCCCCAAAACACTGAAAATTAAAATCAATTCCCAAAGGAAGACAGTCCTCAGACGTGTGCTTCCTGTATCATTGCACACATTCCTCTGTTCCGAGCAGCTTGACGGGAATTCAGAGTTCACACACACAAAGTGAAGGCAGATTTGATTAAAGCCCAGAGGAAGTCAGCACCGTTCCTTTCACGCAAGCTAAATTGATTCAACTCCGGATCTAGCAGATGGCGAAACAGTTTCCACCACAACCAGAAATACTAAACCAGCAGCAACACGTTTAGTGATCCACCACAGGCGACGCTAGAACATTCACGGCTGCACACTTTGAACTGCAGTCCTAACAAATTAATTTATATCTTCTCCTCACGTCTCAACTACAGGTCTGCGAAACGACACCTCAGGCGGAATTACGTGGTAGCTGCGGATCTATATACTTGAGTCTGCCCAAGCATGCGGGCAATACTGGGAGGATGACATCTCCCAAATCAAAGGTCTCGTCTGGAAATGCACCGTTCGGTCCACGTTCCAAAATTAAGCCCTCTCGCTGAGTAAGGAGTCATTTCTTTTAGACTTGCAAAGCTTTAGAAAACACAGAAAATTTGTTTCGATGCCAAAAGAATTCAGAGCAGTCAGCATGATAATGAGTTCCTAACCCATGCACGTTATTCCACAGGAAAGTCACGGATGACATGGAAAAGAAAAGCTTAATGGCATTTGGAGATCAGGTTAAGTAAAGGTGAAGAAAATAATAATAAAAAAAAGTTAATGGAGTCATAACTTTACAATAATAATAATAATAAAGAGTATATTAAAATGATTTGCCCCATCTTTATGTAGGTATTATACATATTTAAAATACTATTTTCCAGATAAACATGTAATAAAAACATTATTCAAATAGCAATTAAGATGTCCTGCATTACAAGATTCTTTTAGAAAGCTTATTTTACGTTACACTATTTTCAAGTATACCAGTCAGGTGAATCGGTCAGTGGTATAAAAAGCCTCTTTTACTTTTTCTACCGCACCGGTTTCCCCACCCAGTTTCTCCCGGGCATCCGGTTCTTGATCTGCAAGCACACAAACCCCTGCTTTTCTGGATTCTTGGATTTAGAAAGGCCACTTTTTTGTAGACAAAGGGAGTTGCAAGCAGTAAGGGTCCCACGTCCAGCCACTTACTGGCTCAGTCGGAATCATCATCACAACCATCACTGCCTTCGAGATCGCTGCCGTTCTATAAGGTAAAATAGAAAATGGGTTGTCAGTATTTCATTTACATCTAGAGACTGACCTAAATCAAAGACACTGACTTTAAACTTCTCCAAAAGTATCAGAAAATGGGGCTAGATCCCCACTTCATGTCTTAGAACCATCTATTGTAACAAACTTCTGCGATGGTAAATGACGCTTCTTGTAGCAAAAATATTGTGCCTTGGATTACACCCACCAGCAGAAGAAATTTCTTCTCATTTATATTTACAAGTGCATGATTACAGCCTGCAGTACGTGGGAAACCTAAAGTGGGGTAATAGCGTGAAATGTTGATGTTTAAAATAAGCACAGGTGAGACAAGGTAACCAGTGCTTTTTCATGCAAGTCCCTCAACAGTTAAGTTTGTTACATTGTCTAAAGCCAGATTTGAGAATGTTGTTTGTCTCCTGCAGAGAATTTACGTCCAAACTGTATTAGAAATGCGTGAGGGCTCACTAATACTTGTTTAAAAATGAAGTCAGTTGTACAGAGTAGTATGAGGGAAGTACTACAAATGTTAGCAACTTACGAGGAAACTGAAGTCTGAGTTCTTAACCGGGAGCCACTCCTTCAGGAGTAAATCAATACAGTGCGAGAAATTTGGGGGGTTTATGTAATTTTTTGAAGCAAGTACTTTGACTGATGTGATTGGCATCAAAGGATTTTATAAAGAAAGGTTAACATGACAATATGCCTGTAGTTACTCCTTTTTTCCCCCACCACCGCTTGCTGAAAACGTATAAAGCCCCAATTCCCATGAACTTAACGTTGACAATTTAATATCCTACCACAAAACAAATTCCGAGGGACTTAGACAGTTGCCTTCGTAACAGCAAGCACAGCTCACCGAAGTGCAAACAGCCTGCAAAATCTCCAAAGAGTCTGTCATATCATGCCTTATTTATCCTCCTCCAGACAGCTTGTGCTAACTGCGATGCCAAAACTGTATTTGGTCACGTTTATCTAAAGCGAGCAGACCTGCCTCCCGCCAGCAATACATGAGTGATTCCGAACCTGCCAGCAGTTAACTCCTGTCAGCAGCAGCATCAAGAGCCCCGAGCCAGGTGAGGGTTCTCTGCACCACAGTCTCTTTGGGTCCCATTTAACCAAACTAACGTGGCATTTGTCATAACCTCCTGTCTCAAATGTCCTCATACAGCGCTACGCTTCAGAAAAACAATTACCACAAGTACAGAAATAACCCTGAGAAATTTCTGGTATCTTGCTTGTACTATTCAACGAGGCAGTAAATTGTGTATGTTGAAACTCTTTCTCATACTCAAACAAAAAATGGCAGAGACAGGATTAAACCTAACATTCTTCAGAGCAGGATCATTATCTACACAAAACAAAGCTAGTTTTAAAGACTCCGTTAAGTTAAAAAAAAAAAAAAAAAGGTAATTATTTTCTTCTAAGTTGCACTACACAGAATTATTAGCCCTGCTCATCATTCATCCTTCAAGGATTTGCCAGCCCTGTGACCAAGAAAATGTGAATTACATACAGAACTGTAAGGTATCTTTAGGTCATCAAGTCCAAACTCCGACTCAAGCAGGGCTTCGAAATCAGATCGGGTTGATCAGGAACTTGTCCGATCAAGCACTGTTGTATTCTAAGTCACTCCAGTCGTTGTCAATTTAAAGAAAATACTTTGTGAGATTGACTCAAGATTCCTCGTGTTGTTTCCAACCTACTTTAGCACATCCCAAACATCTTTATACTCTTTTCTCGTGAGGCTATTCTACATCTCAACCAGAAAAAAAAAAAAAAATTCTTTAACTTAAAACTGAAATTTTCTTTGGGTTAAAAATGTATTCAACATCTTTTGTTTTATTGTAACTTACAGCCGATAGCAGTTCCTGCTGTCAGAAATCAGATTTCACAATATCCCATTTTATTCAGTAGTTGTTGTTCTGATGACCCATTTTGAGCTCATGGCAGATTGACTTAAAAAAGCTGGTCCTAAATTTCCCCCTGATTCCAAACCTTATCTAGCGAGCAGGGCATTACACAGAATGAGAATTAGCCCCAAATCAGCAAATACGAAGAGCCAACCAAATTGTCAACCCGCAAACTAGTGTCTCAAACAGCTTCACAATAGCAAAGGCTGGTAACATGTCCGTCATTTCCCGTTGCCAGTTTAAGATTGTGCAGATTGGCCGGTGCTTTAAAGCCTTCCTTCCTGCCTCCCCCCAGCTGCCCCAGGCAAAACCCTGCAAAAATAACACTTTGTATAGTTCGCTCCACTGTCATCAAGTGCAGAAAGACGGAAAAGGTAATAAACATTTCATACTCCAGATGACTGTCATCTTCCACAGCATACTCATGGAAAACAAACATGTTACTAATGGAAGAGCTACTTCAACGTGACAGCTTCCATTTGATAAAATAATGGCTTCAATCATTACCTTTGAATGTTTGTTGTTAGCTTGCATCCCGACAACAGACGAGTTGAAGTCATGAATGGGGAGGGTGTTTAGCCAGTTCACCATGGATTTCTCTTCCCTTTCTGTGTTGATAATGGTGGGATAGATATACTGCTCTTTGAAAACAGCAATCTTCTCCTCCTCCTCTGTCCACTCCAGCGGCTCATGCAGCCCATCGTTTCCAAAACGTCTGTTGTACTTTTCAAAGTGTACTCTTTCCAAGACCAGCCCAAGTCCTGGAGCTTTGGGGACATCTACTTTCTCCTCTCCCCAGCTGAGCTCCATGATAGACTCGGCAGCGTAACCTTTCACGATAGCTATCACCAGCCCAATCATCTTCCTTATCTGATGCATCATGAAACTCTGCCCTTTCACTTTGATGACTGCAAATTCGATGTTCTCCCTCACGAACGGCTCTCCGCAGTACATCTCCATTATGTACCGCTTGGCGCTGGGGTCCCTGGGTCCCTTCTGAGATGTGAAGTTGTGGAAGTTGTGCGTTCCTTTATAGCACGCAAGCAGTTTATTGACTTTTTCAAGGGTCTCTTTGTCCAGTCGATAAACCTCTTCTTGCACATCGTGGTCTTTATGGGCAAAGGCAAATGTTGGCAGCATGTAAGAGTAGGTTCTGGCGTCACATTTGTTCTTGGAGTTGAATCCCCCAGTGACTCTCTTCAGACCTTATTTTAAAAGCGACATTAGGTTTTTGAATCAGTAGGTTACAATCTGACTGTGATCTCACTCCTACCAACAAGACTAATCTTTAAATAAAATACCAGCAAAAGATAGAAAGGTTTATTTTATAGGACCCTAATTGCAAACTAACAGAAACATACGGATTTGTGTTAAAACTAAACAGCTTACAAGTAAAATCACAATGGTAAGGGAGAGACCTTCTGCAGGAGAAAGCTCCTCTTTGCAAGCATTTTCTCTGCCCACTCCAGCATCCTTACCCAGAATTCTGATGTGAGAAGGAAGATGGTTATTGATCTTTTCTAAGATGTCATCTATTAGCCTGACCTTTAGCGACACAATCTGTCCAGCTGCAGACACACCCTATAAAAACACACAAACACATCGTTATGTACCTTGGAAGCTCTGGGATAGCACTTGCAGAATTGAAATAGCCGAAGAACAAGTTTATTCCTTTTTCTCACTGGTCGTTTCAGGCCGAAGCGAGGCAAAGGCAAGGCCGCAGGCAGAAATCCAAGTCAGAGCACTCCTGGAAGACCTGCTGGTGCTGTACAGCCATACCGCACCTTAGCAATCTTAGCTAGCAGAACGCTGCGCTCCCTTCCGTGACATCCCACTGTATTTGACTGCTATTAAGTAAAGCACCAACTGAAAATAAATGACTTGGACGTAAGACCAGCTCTGAACTCCAGTTCAGGCTCAGAACCCCGCTGTGGCGGGCTTAAAAACAACCAAGACGCAGCTAAACTCGCACGCACCCCGTCAGCCAGGCAGCACCAACAACGAGGAGCAGCAGCAGGCCGGGAGGCTGCAGCAGACGACCGTGACAGAAACGCAAAGTTTAAGTAGGAAGCACCAGCTTTACAAACACCATCTAATCAGTACCCTGCGCTCTCTAAGTATTTGCTTGTGCTTAAGTTTAGTAGTGGACAAAAGGAGAAGTTTGAAGCAACGTTCAGCATAAACGGTATTTGCTATTGGATCTGACTCTAGATGACGCTTTCCCAGCCCATCCCAGTAGCACTGGCAGGGGTACCCCAGAGTTTATGGGAGCGCAGGCCCTAGCCAACGTACCTTATCTGTTCGAGCACACCGCTGAAAAGACATTTTCTTCATATCTTCCCCGTGGTTTTCTGGGATGCAGCCTGACTGAACGAGGGCAGATACTAAGTCATCTTCAATCGTCTTGAACTGTGAAGATCCCACATTTCTCTACAAGAGGACATACAGTACAAATAAGAAATAGGACAAATAGTAATAACTGGATAACTGAAAAATTCTGTAAATCAAGCACTGTTGCAAAATTCTTTAAGTCTTCCCTTCACAGCCCCAAAGGCACTGCCATTCTCTAACGAAACTAACTGTACTTTACCAGGGAGCATTAATAAAACATCTGTTGTCCTGGTTTTGGCTGGGATAGAGTTAATTTTCTTCCCAGTAGCTGGCGTAATGCTGTGGTTTGGATTTAGTAGCAGAAGAATGTTGATAACACACTGATGGTTTAGTTGTTGCTCAGCACTGCTTGTGCCAGTCAAGGACTTTGCAGCTTCCCCTGCTCTGCCAGGGGCACAAGAAGCTGGGAGGGGGCACAGCCAGGAGAGTTGATCCCAACTGCCCCAAGGGCCATTCCATACCATACGGCGTCATGGGCAGTATAGAAACTGGGGGGGTTGGCCGGGGAGCAGCGATCGCTGCTGGGAACTGGCTGGGCATCGGTCGGCGGGTGGTGAGCAATTGCATTGGGCATCACTTGCTTTGGATATTGTTATTATTATCATTATTATACTGTTACTATTAGCATTACTATTTGACTTTATTTCAATTCTTAAACTGTTCTTATCTCACCCCAGGAGTGTTTCTCACTCTCACTCCTCCGATTCTCTCCCCCATCCCATCGGGGTAGGGGGAGTGAGCGAGCAGCTGCGTGGTGCTTGGTTGCTGGCTGGGGCTAAACCACGACAAAAAACTTTACCAGGGAGTGTTAATAAGACATCCACATTCTGATTTACCTTTTACTGTTATTGCAAGTAAAGGATTGTTTCTAATTTTACTGTGCAATACTTCTGCAGCGGAGGTTTTCTGAGGATTCCTTCAACTGCATGAAAAAAAGCATGAAGGGAACACCTTTCCAGTGCCTGCAAGTTAGCAGCTGCTGCTCCAAACCCAGCCTCCGCAAATTCTGCTTCTAGAAATCAGGCAGGGTTCTTCTGCTCAGTTCGCCTCAGCTGTTGTGCAAGGCAGACTATAGTTTTCTCCAGTGACTTCTGCACACAACTCACAGATGAACTAGAACAGAAATGCACAACTCTGCTTGCGCATGAGGCCTCAAAGCACACGCCCTCGATACGAACCATCCAATTACGAGCGCAGTAAAGCCGACAGGCATTTACACTGATGTGCCCACAAGCATGAGATTTACTGCTGCTGAACAAATCTACTTGGTTTAGCCTACTAAACTGGTGGTGTTGGGTTGACTGTTGGACTGACGATCTTAGAGGTCCTTTCCAGCCTTAGTGATTCTATTCTAGTTTTACTTTCATTAAAAAAATAATCCAGCCACCAAGCCAGGAAACATGAAATTAATTATGACTCTCCCCTTAACTAGTTTAGTGGTGGAACTTGGTAGCATTAGGTTAATGGTTGGACTGGATGATCTTAAAGGGCTTTTCCAACCTAAATGATTCTGTGATTCTACTTTGTTGCATAAACATGAAAGACTCCCTTCCCTGTCGGCCTGCAGTGTTAGGTTAATGGTTGGACTTGATGATCTTGAAGGTCTTTTCCAACCTAAATGATTCGATGATTCAATCTTATCAATTATCCCCTGGAGCTTTTAAAGTATGCCTCCATAAACATGAAATTGCTACTCTCCCCTTAATTGGTTTAGTGGTGGACTTGGCAGTGTGAGGTTAATGGTTGGACTGGATGATCTTAAAGGTCTTTTCCAACCTAAACGATTCTATGATTCTATGATTCTAAGAGTATGTGGAGCTTGCAGTACACCAAGAGGAGCAGCAGATGGAGCAAGCTCATCCTCTTGCTGCCAATACTGTGCGCCGCAAAACCATCCCTGAACAGGCTCGAATTCACTGCTCCAATGCTGCTGCTCTAACAAAGCAACATCCCTTTTCTTCCACACGCAAACACCGATGTCTTGCAACAGTTTTCCTGTTTCTAAACCGCTACAAGCCGCCCCATTAGAGTGCATTAGAAAAAGGAGAATTTAAAATGTCTTCAAGTACATTAATCTTTTTAAAAGTACAAGGGACGGCAATGTCAACGCAAATTTCATTCAAATACGCAGCTCAGTTCTCTGGAATCCGCACGTAGTGAGACAACTTGAGGTCTAACCTACAAGAAACCTAGCCTGACTGCTTTGAAATGGAAAGCTTTAACCAGAAGCGGGAGCGCTGGGCAGAAGGGGATCATGCAACAGCGCTCCAGGTTGTGACGGAACTGCAGCGCCCGTGCTTTCAGTCTCCTCAAGAGCCTCATCTGCAGCAATTTTTGAAAGATCTTCTGCTGATGCTCTGTGCTAAAGGCAGACTCACTAGAATCGCCAAGTATCAGAGGTGTCCCGCTGACCTTTTTTTATTCAAGTTACCACCAAGCCATCTGAAGCCAGGTGTGCACTGTTCCTGCCCCAGCTTTCCAAACTGCAACTGCTTCCCTACTCAGTCACTACGGCTATAGTTAGAAACCTAAGAGACTCCAAAAAAAAAAAGCAGGCCAGGTTGTTTTGCCAAACGACATACTTGCATCCCGTGGTAGCCTTTCCCTGAATACGCCATCAACAACACGATCTTCCTTTTGGGTGACTTTTTATTCCGATCCTCCGCGTCCTCCTCCTCCGCGTCTGTCTTCAACTTTTTGTGCCGATGTCCATTTTCTCCCGGCCTTTCCACCGCCT